TGACCTCTCTGGGAATGCCACATTATTCGGACGCCAACTTGAATAACGACAATTTGGATCACAAATTCGCATCCAACTTGGCCTTTACACGGGACGAATTTTCCAATAAACCACACTGTGACGATGATGCGGGTGCTACCGCATTCCTATTATTAACAAATATCAACAAAAAAGACGGTTCCATTGCTCTGAACAGTCACCTTGATCCCACCTTCATAGGTCCCTTCTTTGTTTTTCCTGATCATAAAGTGGCGATTGACTTGCGAAAATTAAATGGCATATGCCGTGTAGTATTTGATGCAGGCCAATTCGAACATTGTACTCATAATAATCAACCCGCTCATTCAACCCTTACTCCATTTGGATTTTCCCTCCAAATATCCCAGAGTTGTGTTGATGCATTTCGCCGTATCTTTAGTGGCTATTATGAAAACAGAGTAACCCCCAAGAATAACATCCCATACTACCTTGGGGATCATGATTATATCTTCAATCAAGTTGTTGACAAATTTGTTTAAGCTGTTTCTATTCCTTCACTCACAATCAAATATAAAAAATCGTGTTTTTTTTTTTTGTTTATGATTATAATAAGAAATGCAATTGATTAAAAAAGTGAACTTGTTTTTCATCTAACACCTATATACTAGCCTTCTTTGTGAGTACATTTCCGTGGAATCTATTTCAAAAAATCGTATGAGCAGAGAGAGTAAGGAGGAAATACAAGCTTGTAACAACAACACATAATCCTAGTCGGTGGTGGTTGCAGGATGATCAGATAACCAGCCAGAAGGAAGAGCTCCATTGGCATAATTAATAATATGAGAAAGACTGGATTTTCTCGCAAGGGAAGATTGTATTTGTATTTGGTGAGCAGGTGGTCTTTTAGGTGTCGTAATTCTTCCAGTAAGTCTTTGTAGTTGGTTGGAAGTAGAAATGTTTGAGGGATTATCTTTATTGATTGTATCGGGAGATTCCAATCTGAGTTGTATACAAAATTCGTTACAGATGTGGTTTTTGATAAACATCGAAATGCCTTCCTTCGCATTATTACCATCAGCCCATTGCCTAAAAGTAAGAAATTAAATGAGTGTGATGCATTCAAAATCAGCAAGTGGTAACGATTGACTTACGTATGGTCCAAATCAATGATTTGTGGTCCGGTGAGGATTGGCCCAACTCCTTGTAAGTCACAAATCAAGCTGTTACCCTTTGATTCAACATAGGACCAGTGTGTGAATGCATTCATTAATCGACAGATTCTCGGTTCCATTCCAGGTTGATCTTCGGCAACATCAAAGTCAATGTTACTTGAATACTTGACGTATGTGCCCTCCAGGGCTTCTTCCAAGAAAAAGACTTCGGAAGGGAATTGAGTATCTCCAGTTGCGACAACAGCGTGGCGTACAATCTAGCAATTAAAAGATGTTAGCTTATGAAAACTCAAACCTATGAGGCAAAGGATATGACAAACCTCCATTTTCTTGGCTCTTTGTTTGAATTGTTGTTCGACTCGGTTACTTTCAGCAATGATCGACTTGAACTTTCTCAATAGAAGTCCACTAGCTTCATACATCATGGCATCGTTTGCATGGGATGAGAGTGATGACAGATTTTCTTTATATCGAATCTTTGCAACATAGTTTGAGATTATTTCCGCGCCATCTTCAGAAATTGATTTCACTTCAGCCTTCAATGCACGTCTCATACTTCCCTGACCAATGATCACATCCCTAAAGATCCTTAATGTGATGGGTTCGGTCTCTGCATTCAGCATTTTGTATTCAGTTTGTTCAAAAGTCTTGATATAAATTGATTGGCATTGATCCAGCCAGTTTTGACAACATCAACAATATCATTACTATTCTGTCCCAGAATACGTAGCTGGGTGGACAGGCTAGAACTTCCCAATCGGGGCATTGTACCTAGAAAATAGTATGAATTTCACAATGAATATTTATACAAAATGGAAGTAATACAAACTACAAATTAGCTTACTTGCAATACCCGCAGAAGCCCATGAGTTCTCAATTTTCTTCATGTGGGAGACACCTGATATCATAGATTGCGAGGTTTTGTTTTTGGGATGATGGTCTTGAAGAGGGTTTTTGACCAAAGGTTGGGTTGGTCGTGGCATGATTGTGATATTTTCATCAGAGGACATATTGTTGTCATCAGATGAACGAGACTGATTAACAACAGACTTTTTTCGGCAAGTTCGGGTTGACTGTTTTCTAGAATGTCGAGTTGAATCATCAACCAAAGACTTTTTCCTGGAAGATCGAGTGGATGACTTTGTTATCAAGAGGTTTTCTTCCAAAGAGCTGTTACTATCGTCAGAAGAATCGTAATCCTTAGAGCGTGACTTGCTAAATTTGGTATTCGTGGTTGATCTTGATCGTGAGGATCGAGTTGCCGGCTTGGAAGAGGTGTTGTTGTTGTGGTTGGAAGAAGAATATTCTGAATCTGAGGATTTATCTTGAGGAGTTTCGTATTGATAAATAATGTTGATCAGGACAGGCTTTCGGTCATTTGATTTCCTAACAACATATTCTAGGGCTTCTGGAGTGGGCAATACACTTTTCCCTTGGGCAAGGCTGACACATCCTTCTGATGAATCGGGTGAGCCAGGGAGTAATGATTTTTTCTCGAGCTGGATAGAAAACAACCCCCAGAGAGAGTCGAGAAGGTCGTCATAAAGCTTCGGGTTGTCGAGGTCGACTTTCTGCTTCACATTGAGAATGCCGGTTTGGGTGTTGATCTTGTTATCAATGTATAAAACAAACCCACAGTCAATTAAATGTACATTGTCCAAGTTGGAAGTTGATTTTGAGGACAATCAGGGAGACTTATTCTTATGGTCCGACTTGAGGTTTCTTTTGTTTATTCCTGACAGCATTCTGAAAATATTCATCGAGGGCTGAAGTGCTTGTTGGGGGTACTGAGGAGGGCTGGGAGCTGGGGCGAATGACAGTGTTTCTTCGGAAAGGAAATTGGGAACTGGTTGTTGCTGGGGGATTGGATAAGGTGGAGGCAAGTGGCTTATGGAGGGATGCTTCAATATGATGTTCTTTAATATTGGCATCTTTCAAGCAGAAATCGCACCAGCCAAGTAAAATAGAATCAATAGTGCAACTACAGTTTCCACAAGATGGCATAATGATAAGGGGGATGTGTAACAAGTAGTGGGGATTGGTAAGTAAAATAACAAGCTGGTGGATGGATTGTTTCACGACTGGACTTGGAGGAGGATTTTTGACACTATCTCCCATCTTTTTAAGCTGCTTCCATTTGTGTTACTTGTCAGTTCGATCAATTGTTGTACCATTCTGAACACAATTTGTGTAGTAGAGCATGATTGTTAAGCAACAAGTAGCATAGTATCTCGGTATGAGTCTCACAAGTAGATAAATTACACAAAAGCCATGACAAAAACAAGAAACTGAATGGACAAGGGTGTTAAAAATTTCATGGTAGTTAGGAATAACAAGTGAAGTTAATATTATATGTACATGTTGTAATGTTAGAATCTTACAGTTTCCTTGTCATTTGGGTATATGAATCAACAGAGGAAAATACGAGCTGATTTTGTAGAACAGCTGGTGTGTAACTTTTTGTGTAGAGTTGTGAAACGGAGTGATGTTGTGATGGATGTTTTTTGAAGAGTTTTGAGATGATGGGATTATGTGGATCATATCATACCTCTGTTGGGGTGTTCTCCACCGAACACCACCTGATGAATGGTCAAGCTCATCAAATGGTGTCATAATAGTTTGTACTCATAGTGATGAGACTTGCCCACTGCTGGAAATGTGAAGAAAAACACCCTTGGATGGGTGGTTTTTCACGGTCAGGTGTTCATTGAGGGGATGTTGGAGGCTCGAAGTTTTTTTTTGCATTTTTTATATGTGTATATGTGACATAATAAACAAAGTTTTTTTTAAAATATGTACAAGTTAGTTTTATTTTTTTGAAATTTGAAAAAAAAAAATGAAATGGGGTGATGGAGTGGTATTTCAGATTTCAAATATGTACAAGTGCAATTTTGACTTTTGAAATTTTCAAAAAAAAAAATGGAATGGCGCGATGGCGCGATGGCGCGGTTGATGTCGTCTGTGGGCTTCCGTAGCTTTCGGTTATCTTGCTTGCAGAATGGGTGTATGGACTTGATTGCATATTTTAGAAATTTAGATTGCAACATCAGCAGCCGCTGTTGATTTTTTGGCAGTACAGTTGATTGACAGGTCCCCCCACACTTTTGCCTCATGATAGCTCATGATTGTAAGGAGTATGGGATTGACAACATTGTGAACTTTATACTTTTCTCACCTATTTTTTCTTTTACATTTATTTTCTATCTTCTTATATTTTCTCTATATACATATACATTTCACAAACATAAACATATCACCGAACATGTCACATAGTCAAATCTATAAAGTTGTAACCGCGGCTGGCTATTCGAGTCTACTCATCTTTCTTTGGAACTCAAATAGTCCAGTCCGGAGCTGATAGCATAATCTCGATACTTTATAATGATTATGTGTATGAAAAAGGACAGATTTAATTTTGGATACCGTAGATGTTTAAAAGTAAATATTTATGCAGTTGTTGATATGAAATCTCCAAGCAAGACTTTCTAGGACCTCTCAGCCTACATTCACCCAGATCACAGTGGCAGCAACACTGCCACAGATATGGTATCTGCCCGTATCTGCCATGTATCACTATGTATCTGAGCCCCAATAAAAAAAAACTATCTGACCAATCTGCTTTTATTTGCAAGGAGATTCAACAAATTTGGTTTTTGGCCATGCAGCTTTGCAGAATTCTCCATGATACACACAGCGTGTCGTATCTGTGGCAGCGTTGGTGGCAGATGTGGTTTTGAATATCATACATACATAGATAATTCATTGGATAAATTCCAGTGCACCTGATTAGCAAGATTCTGGAAAATTTGTGAAATCTGGGTTTATGATAGGGAGTTATCATTGGTGCAGAGATATATGTGCAGTGGCTAGACAGAAGTGTCCACCACACTGATTTTGAACTCTAGCATCTAAGCCCACCCACTTCAAGTCATCAAGACTGGTGAAATGGCTCTTAATAGGCTGCCAAGGAAGAATGTGAAAAAAATTATACACATCAAAAAAAGTTTTGAAATTTGTAAAAATATTTTCTAGCTGAGGAATGACAGTATGAGATGTGAAATGATGATGATAAGTTAAAATGCTGATAAAAATGACTTTGATATAATGGTTTAAATTTTCAAAACATGTGTTGAGTGGCGCATTCATCTGCTCAGATGCACTACAAAAAATGTAGAATCACATGTTCCAAATGCGTGGAAATATCACATGTCACATGCAATGTCACCTCGCATTTGCCAAATGCAATTGAATTTGTAGTGCCAAAAAATCAATCACATCTTGCAAATGCAAGGTGGCATTGCATGTGACATGCAATGTTTCCTTGCATTCAGCAAATGTGATTCAACATTTTTTGTAGTGATGGTATTCTGGCACTGTAAACTGGCAAGCTTATACAAGTTTCTCATTGGGAGAGTGCCTGCAGGCAGGTTTGGGTGGCAGCCCAGTCTCACCAGAGAGGCTTATGCATGATAACACAAAGTTGGCCTGAGAAAGACAGGATTTAGAGGCCTTTTTTGTGCTTGCACCTCTGGCTTCCATGTAATTTTTCTCAAAATTTGATTGTGCTGTTTTTTTTTTCTTGGTCTCTGGCTTCCTGCTGATTTTTCTGTATTTTTATCTGTTTGTATTTCCATACCAATCTTTTTTTTTAAAAATAAAAAATAAAAAAACAGAAAATGGAAAGTCTCATTTTGCAGGCACAAAGTATGCTTATACTGAGATTGAGATCAAGCCTCTGCCAAATTTGCAATCCAAACTTAAAAACCATGAACTTGATTGAAAGCTTTCTGCTAGAATCAAACAAGTTTTGCAATGAAAAAAAAAAATGCAAAAAATCAATATTATGTAGATCTTTCATCTCCTAGAACCAAAAAAATGAGCTAGAATGGATAAGTGGTGAGGAAAATCCGGTTTCTACCACCAAAACTGTATTTATGTCTCACACCAGCAAAGTATTTTGGCATGCAAGTCCCGCCTGCAGAAGGGAGTGCTTTGTGCTAACACTGGGTTGCTAATTGACACTGCATTATCAGCATTATACCAATTGTGCAGTCAACCTGATTCCTTCCCTGAAACATTAACATTATCTGTAGTGGGAAGTCTTTCTCTCAGTCAATAGAGTGATGATTAAGTTTTTGTCTGTAGTGAATAGATAAAGTAATGCATTATCTCATTATCCAGAGGTTGAGCAACCCTAAACACATTCTAAGGGGTAAAAAGCCTTTCTGTTTGGTCTTTGGCAGCAACACATGCCATAAATTGCCACACATGTCTTACATACCAATATTTAGGGTTTTTTTTAAAAATTAAAAAAAAACTACGAGTTGCTGATAGTGTAATGAGCATGAAAAAAAAAATCCAAGACAAAGTGGATAATGTTATGTGCAAAAAACAATATGAGGAGAGTAATGAGTGTAACTACCCATTGTTGTTTGCACCCAGCCAGTTGCACTCTGTCTATTCACATTTCTCTGAAAGAAACATTTCAGCTTTTCAGAAGCTCTTTTTTTTACAAATTTTATAATTTTGTTTTTTGCTATTATCTTCATTCTAGGAAGCTTCTGACAAAACATATAACCAATAGAAATGACTTGAAGTGGGTAGGTTTAAGTTTCTAAAGTCTAAAACAGTACTGTGGTGGAAACTTCTGTTGAGCCACTGTACAGTGATTAGGGCCCTATTGAAAGTAAATAGATTAAAACACCAAATATATGAGCTATGAACTGGTGCAGTAAACAGGATCACAACTCCAAATCAGCATTGGCATTTAACCATGATAAGGTGGGGGCTAATACTGGATTTTAATTATCATAGGCACCAGGGGCAAGTTCATGCACAACTTTTAAGAACCTTTTCCTGATCATTGAATAGACATCAAAGACTAATTGAATTGCACAAGCAAACAAGCAAACTGCATATTTCTCACTTGTTTTGCTGCCATTGGCAAAAGAGTGGAGCCATAAAGAGAGACAGCAAATCACATTCACCAGGAATAAACAATGCTCACTTGATGACAAGTGAAACCAGACAAAGTTCATCATGCTACCCATTACTTACCCAGCTCAAATGTAGTTCAGCCTCCTGTAGCACACAAAGAGGCCATTGTAGTTGGATTGAAGTCGCACTGAAGATACAATCAATTTGTGATCAATGTCAGATCATGTTCATTGATTTAGTGAGTGTGTCTATGTAATGTCCACACATATCAAGCCCATAATTTGCCACTTTTTCTTCATTCAAAATCCAGTGACCAAAAAGCTCCTGTGTAAAATAAAAAAAAAAACTGAAGAAGAATCCAACATCTAATTGCTGACCATTAAACATGCTCTGTAAGCAGCCACCTTCTACTGACTTGTCTGGGATGGGATCAAGCAACCTACTCAATCCATTGTTTGAACTTCAATCACAGTCTCTTCTCTTTGCCTCTTAACTGAACACAGGCCTTCCAAAAAAACTGATGCATGTCTTTCATAGATTGATTTCATTTTTTTTTTGAATAACTGTATGTGATATTTATATATCTGACACGGCATATCCTCTTTTACATAGCTTCAGATATTGTGATCAAATGATCAATCACAAAGACATACTCTGATCCTAAGTTTCAAACGTTGATATCATGTACTAAGCTTGTGTTTTCTTCCAAGATTGTTGAGTGGCTGTTTTTGGACAACAATCAATCAAATTCATAACACACTAATTATACAAAGTTGTATACGTAACAGAAATGAAGAAGAAATTAGAGAAGAAAATAACCCAAGCAAAAGGAGAAAACCTCTATTTCTATAAGCCATGTAGAAGGTTTAGACTGATGGGCTTCGGAGGCAGAGGGGCCAAGCTGAAGAAGGAAATCCCTTTTCGGGAAGGGTTCATGACAGACTTGAAAGAATAAAACAGCCAATGCATTTTATTCACTGTGTTTAAGCAGGCTTTTGTAGACTAAATACAAGTGATCAAACAGTGGCTGAAAGAAAACATGAATAAAAAAAGGATTTTGAATAAATTTGAGAGAAGATAAAACAAGTTCTTAAGAATACCAAACTAGACAAAACCTCTCATTGTCTTGTAGTTATATTAAATGAGTTAGTAAAGGAAAAAAACATGTTTTAAATCACAAATAACAAGGGATGTTAATTCTTATTATAATAAATTTTTTATTAATATCAGACATTCAACCAGAGAAGAGAAATATTTACAGTCGAGACAGATTTGCGGTGATTAGAAAAGGAAACCGAAAAGGGCAGAGAGAGAAAATTTCAACAAGCTGTTTTTTTGCAAGAAAAGGAGAAAAAAACATAAGAATGAGAAAACAAAGAAACAGAGCAGGTAGAGGAAGCAAGAAAGCTAATCCGAAGAAGCCTCCTGATAGACAGCTTGAGAGACGATCTTCATCGCGAGGTGTTTTCCAGTCCAGAGCTGAAACTGTCTTGCGGCCTGTTGGACCAAGACCTGGAGCCCATCGACGGATTTCCAGCGGACGAGATCCTGGACGGCTCTCAAGAGTGCCGAGTCCTTCCCAAGGGCGTAGCTCATCTCGATCACCACCCCACCGCCGGGTCTGTCGAAGAGGCCATGGGGGATCTCGAGTTTGTCTGCGGGCGGGTCGTCTGATAGACGGGTCGCCTGGGCCGGCACAGCTGAGATGATGGCTGAAGGTTGCCATACCCCGTCTTCCCCTGAACACAGGAACCCAAGACTGTCGATCACCCGGATCCCAAAATAACTCGGGAACGCCTGCGCAACCTCTTCCGCTTTGGACCGTGTCCGGTTGTGGATATAGATCTGCTCGTACCCAAGTGAATGCAGGGCATAGACCGCCGCGCGAGCTGTGCCCCCCGCACCAATGACCACGCCTGCTGCCCTGACCAATTGACCGGGAGTGATCAATCCTAAGGCTTGTTGTGCCGGTAGATTAGCCTCGATCTTCATCTTGATTGCTTCCCAATCGGTATTAGCTCCTAGCAGCTTGATCTTCCCATCACGCTGAGAGACCGGAACAATCGTATTGACTGCACCAACGGCTTGGGCATCGGGTGTTAACTGATCGAGATACTTGATAATCTCCACCTTCAGAGGAATCGTAACCGAGGCCCCTCCAAAGTCGCTTGCATGGATTTTTTCCAAGACGGTGCTGTCCGTCACTGAGCTGGTCTCACACTTCTGGTACCGGTAACCTTCAAGACCAAGGGTATCGAAACCAGTTCCATGGATCAAGGGTGAGCGGGATTGACCGATTGGAGCTCCAAATAACCAAAACTGTTTTGGGATAATCTGTCCCAACAGTCCCTGGGCCGTTTGGATCTGGCGGAAGGATAGTTGTCCAGGTGCAGCTGGGGGACCGGGCAATAATCGGTGAGTGGTTGGACTTAGAACCGGAGACAGAATCCGAGACATCTGTCCAGATCTTCCCATGTTGATAGTGATCAGTGACTGTCGGTCCTTTTGAAGAGTCGCGTGTTTCTTCCTGAACTCGAGCATGGCCAGGTTATCTTCCAATCCATCGGCTGCCCGAGAGACCAACTTGACCATATCGCCATAGGCCTTCAGCTCGTGATAACGCTGGATCATCTCGCTGGAGTCCCACTTCAAACGACCAGAAAAATCATGGTAGGAGGCGATGATCTTCGAATGACCCTTCTGGCTGCACAGTGCTTTCTGTTGCTCCGGCGAAAGACCCAACTCAATGTCGACATACTCACAACCAGTTCTAAAACCCATTGCAGCCAATTTACACCATTCCTCCGGTTGGCCATCCGGAAACATCCCGCCCTGCGAGCACGTTCGAACCGTATAGATGATCGGCAAAGTGGTTAGTCTGCGTAATGCCGCGACTTGCTTGACCACAAATTCAGTTGGCGGAATGGATGGGCTGGTAGGTGCTTTGCCAGATGTCGAGAGAAGGTCTACCCTCAATTCTACCGCATCACATCCAATGGTAAGCTCTTCGAAGCGGTCAAGGCTGGTCTTGTCTTCTTCTCGACAAGGGCTCAAGGAAGGGAATGTGAGGCAAAGGAAGTGGGTGTTCCGGGGTACTGGTGGATCAAGTAAGACGTGGTTTGTGTCAACGCCAGTGATGAACCGGAAGAACTGTTGCATGGCCCGCTTGGCGTGTTGAACTTCTGAGATGAGCGCATGATCGACGGCTGGGTGGACAAGGTTGAAATACTCTGAGTTCGAGCAGAGTCGGTACCAAGGTTCTCGACGTGCCCAGATTTGCTGGATCGATTCGCCAAGACTGGGGCGATTACCATCTTCATTGAGGTATGCAATCACTTCTTCCACCGGTCTGATGATCTCAACCACCGGGCCTTTTGAGTTTGCGTAATTCATCAACATCTTCCTCCCTTTCTCGGTTTCAACAATTCCTCCACCGAGTGAGATAACGTGACAAGAAGGAAACTCCTTCAAGATCTCTTCGAGTACCGCACACTCTTCTTCTCGAAAGCGCGACCAATCGTTCTTTTGAATGAACTCACGAATCGAGCAGCCACACTTTTCTTGAAAGTACAAATCCGTGTCGATTAGCGGCCAGCCTAAAGTGCTGGCTGCCACTTGACCCGAGAAAGATTTACCCGATCCTCTCATTCCGCACAACAGCTAAGGATTGAATTAATCAAGAGAAATGGTCAGTCAACCCGATCAGTAAACATAGATCGTATTCTTTACTCACAATGGATGGAGTTTCTGGTTTCTTAGCTTCCCATGCAACTGCCGAAGTTGTGTTAGTTAGCTTCTCATGAGCAGGGACTCCATCAAGCTGAATACCCAGTTTGGTCGAAAGATCATCCCACCAGCTGGGCCACGTTTTCTCGACACACCGTTTTTCGTTGAGGATCAAGCCTTTACCGCCAGGGACCGTTCCCAGGACACTAAAGGCCATCGCGATTCGATGGTCATCGTAACAATTTATACGGACTTGATCACCACGTTTGGCTAGCGCATCGACCGGTGTGCCAAACACCTCGATCCCATCTTCAAGCTCCTGAGCATGAATACCCATCTTGCCTAATTCGGCCACCATGGCTGCGATTCGATTGCATTCCTTGACTCGCTGATTGGCAATTCCAATGATCCTGGTGGACATTTTTTGCTCTTTTTCCGAGGGCTGAACCGCAACACCAAGTACAACACAAGCAGTCAGGAAAGCATCGGTCATCTCCTCCATGTCGATTTCCCCAAGTTGTCGTAATTCGGAGACAGTGCTGGGTCCGATAACCTTTGTCTCTCTTTCCGTCTGAATCACCTGACATCCCATAGGCTCCAGCACCTTCTTGGCAAATTGAGCGTCACCTTGGAGGGATCCAGAGCCGATAGTTTCCAAAGTAATACTGAGGCCATTCAAGGCAGCCATGGCCAGTGGGTATGTTGCACTACTTGCGTCACTCTCGATCTCGTAAACCGGGGGATTCTTGTAAGTACCGTTGGGTATCCGATAAGTGTTTGAAGGAAGCCCAGTAGCTGGATCTTTGACACGCTCAACTTGTATTCCCAAAAAGTAGACATCATGGAAATCGTAATATCAATGTATGGCTGTGAGATCACAGCACCTCCAACCAAAGAGAGCGTCACGGGAGCTTGGGCGAAAGGGGCTGAGAGCAAGACTGAGGAAACGTATTGGGATGACACGGAGGCCGCTAATTCGATCATTCCACCGGGGAAGCCATCTTCAGGACTTATTCGGAGAGGTAGGCAGCCTTCGTTGCGTAGATAATCAATCTGAACCCCATTAGTACGGAGCGTGTCCACGAGGGGCCCGATAGGACGTTCTTGCATCCTTGCGTTTCCGGTGATTACTGTTGAGCTTTGATTCGAAACTTGAGATTTGACAAGTGAGCAGACAGTTGTCAAAAATCGGGCAGCAGTGCCTGCATTACCGAGATACACATGTTTCCCATTGGCGGGTGACTAAATGGAGGTGGAAAGCAATCAGTGATACAGATTTTGTATATATAACTTGCATGGGATTGAGGCAGACTGAAAGGTTTGATCATCTGATCCGACAACTCACTGAGAGCTTACCAGCCCCACCAGAAACCACAAGTGTGGCACCGTTATCTTCCCAGGAGAAACTAGCTCCTTTCATTTCTTCGAGTGCATTGATCATGACCTGAGTATCATCCGAATGCAAGAGATTTTTGAGACGACAGGTTCCATTTCCCAAAGCAGCAAGAATCAAGGCACGATTGGAGATCGACTTGCTCCCCGGTGTTCGGATGGTGATTTCCTTGATGTTGGCTGGGGGTGGCCCTGGATGGACTCGGACCGCTGGGGCTAAGACTCGTCTGATGAGGCTGTCTTCGACACCTGTGGCCCGCTCTTCTAAGGTTTTGCCGATCCTGGACAACAGGACGATCTTCTTGACCTTGCCTTCGTTCTTCTTGTCCACGCTCATTAGATCTAAGAGTCGGTCGAGATTAAGATTGGGGGCGTTGGGTGAGCTGAGAATTCTGGGATCAGTTAAGGAGACCGGCAGGCCATGGGCCTTGAGACATTTGCTTAGACGGGCAATAGCGCTTGAGGATAAACAGCCGCGTGCACGAGCAACCTCAGCCTCTAGAATCATTCCGATCGAAACACATTCGCCATGGAGAATCGCAGGAGTCAGTACGGCTTCGATAGCATGACCGATCGTGTGTCCGAAATTCACCAGATTTCGGAGTCCAGTCTCCTTTTCATCTTTCGTGACCACTTCCGACTTGACGCCCACGGAATCGGCAATGACCTCTAGTAATAATTTCTGTGCTTGAGAGCGACTGGCAAGGTCTCGACCAGGAAATGGGTTGATCGGATCCCGAGGTGGTGGTGATAAGACGGCTGAGCGAATAGAATCAACGTTGGATTCCAATTTTTCAAATTGGGATTCATCCCAGATTGCAGCGGTCTATAATTTAAATCAGGAGATCAGCATAGCCCAATATTGCAGATCAGGGTGGAAGGAGATGTTGAGTTGGCTGCTTACTTTGATCATTTCTGCCATACCATTCACGAATTCTCGTTCGGGTAAGGTTTCCAGATAGGACGCATCGATGAAGATGAAGGATGGCTGCCAAAATGCGCCTACCAAATTCTTGCCGAGTGGGGTATCGATTGCAGTCTAGGAGGCAGTGAAAAATGATATTAAATGGGTAGGCAATCAGAACCGTTTTCTTTTTTCTTTTTTTTTTCTTTTTTTTTTTCTTTTTTTTTTTTCTTTTTTTTTTTTCTTTTTTTTTTTTTTTTTCTTTTTTTTTTTGATGTAAATGCATATGTGAGATCA